ATTATTATTATTATTATATTTATCATCATCATTATTATTATATTTTCATTATTGTTTATTATTATATATTAATTATTATCATCAAACTCATATTATTACATTATCACTAATAAATGGCAATGGTAATGTATGATAATCATAAGATGATAATAATATCCAACGATAAAAAGTCATTATAATGTTAATGATGATAATAACTATAACAACCATAATGATTATAATAATAGCAAAATTATAAGGATAATAATTTAATAACAATGATATAGTAATAAAACAATTCATAACAATGATAATAATAACAATGATGGCAAGTATGATATACAACAACTTATAACAACCATAATGAAGATAATAATAGCAGAGAAGATGAATGATAATGATGATTAATGATGCAAAATGATTAATGGGATGATATTTCAATATAATTGATAATAGTAATAATAATCATTAGCCACACCAAAAATAATAAATAAAAAACTTGGAAGTCCAAACACAGAAAATAGGAAACACCCCCTCCCCCCTCCTCTCCCTCCCCCCCCCACCCCCACCCCCATCCTTCCCTCCCTCCCCCACCCCCCCCAACCCTCCAAACCCCACAAAGGTCGACGAAGCAAGCGACTAACTCATCTATATAACAAGGTCAACTGAGATGGGGGGTGGTGGGTGGGGGTGGAGGGCGGACCCTATTATCACATAACGCAGCATAGCCTTTTGTTCCCTCCTTCCTCCTCCTCCTTCTCCGTCGCTCCACTCCTACTCCTCCTCCTCCCCTCCTCCTTCTCCCCTGTATTCCTCTTCCTCCTCCATCGCTCCTCTTCTTTCCCTGTATCCTCCTCCTCCTCTTTCCCTGTATTCCTCCTTCCTCCTACCTCCTCCTCTTTCCCTGTATTCCTCCTCCTCCTCCTCCTCCTCCTCTTCTTTCCCTGTATTCCACCTCCTCCTCCTCTTTCCCTGTATTCCTCCTCCTCAACCTATCTTTCTCCTCCTCCTCCTCCTCCTCTTCTTCCCTGTATCCCTCTTCCTCCCTCCTCTTCTCCCCCTCTTTCCCTGTATTTCCTCCTCTTCCTCTTCCTCCCCAGGGGGGGTACTACCTTGGGCTCGTCTTCTATCTTATCCTCTCTGTGTTCAGGCTTCAATTTCTTCATGTTATGCTTGGTATGGCTACATATGTTGTTAGGTATGCATTCATATATTCATTATCATTATTTAGATTTGCATTATCATTATCATTATCATTATCATTATTTTTCTGTTAGTTATCATGATATTCCATTATCTTATTGTTATTGTTATTGTTGTTAGGTTATACATTATCATATCATTATCTTTTATTGTTATTTTGTTAGGTATGCATTATCATTATCATTATTGTTTTGTTATTATCCGGTTCCACAGCGTCCACAGGATCTCCATAGGATCGGCTACCATGGTGCTTCTCTGCTCGTCGGCGGATGTTCAGGCCATGGATGCTGGCTGTCACGTGGGTCTGGTCTGCTGGCGGATTTTTTGTTTTGTTTTTTGTTATTGTTATTTTATTTTTAAGTAGTAGTGGTGGGTTTTTTTGTTGTTTTTATTGTTATTGTATTTATTTTAAGTAGTAGTGGTTTTTTGTTGTTTTTGTTATTGTATCTTTATTTTTAAGTAGTAGTGGTGGGTTTTTTGTTGTTTTTATTGTTATTGTTATCTTTATTCTTAAGTAGTCGCTGTTGTTGTTATCATCATTATTTTTTTCTTTCTTTCTTTTTTTTTTGGGGGGGGTGTTATTGTTATTGTTATCTTTATCTAAGTAGTAGTTGGTGTTTTTTTTGTTAGTTGTTGTCAGGTAGTTTTGTTATTGTTATCGCTGTTGTTGTTATCATCATTATTTTTTTTTTTTTTTTTTTGGGGGGGTGTTATTGTTATTGTTATCTTTATTTTCTAAGTAGTAGTGGTGTTTTTTTTGTTATTGTTATTATTTTGTTTTAGTAGTTTGTTATTGTTATCGTTGTTATTGTTATTATCATTATCTTTTTCATTGTTGTTGATATTATCATTATTATCAATATTTTTATTATTGTTATTAATGTTAATATCATAATCATTAGTTTCATTGTTTTTTCATTACCGTTATCATCCCCCTTGTTATCATTGCTATGATTGTTCTTCTTGTTCTTTTTGTTCGTGTTATGTCGTCACTGTTTCTAAATATTCATTATTAGTATTGTTATCATCATTATTATTGCAATTATTAATGGTAGCAGTAGTAGTAGTATCATTATTATTACTATTACTCTTATATTGTTGTTGTTGTTGTTTTTATTACTATCATCAATATTATTGTTATCATCACAAATGTTATCATCATCATCATTATTGTTCAAATCATTGTTGTTATCATCATCATTATTATCATTAGTATCATTATCATATTTATGATTATCGTTATTATTACCATTATTATTTTCATACTTATCATCATTATTGTTATCATTATCATTATTGTTTTTATTATTATTATCACTAGCACCATTATTGTTATCATTATTGTTATTATTATTGTTATCATTATTACTATCATTATTGTTATTATCATTACTATTATCATTGTTATCATAATCATTAATAATCCCATTTTCGTTATTGTTCTTCTTGTATATCTGTATCCTTTGTTATATTTACATTGTTTTATTTATGTTCCTTGTTTTTGTTTTTGTTTTGTGGACTACAATTTATAGGACCTCCTTTTCTATGGGTGTATTATCTTTTAAGTTTCAAGTTTTTTTTCATCTCCTAGTTCTTCTTGGATTCTCTCATCTCCTCTTTTGTTCTTCCTTTGTTCCTTAGTCCTTGAGATTTATCTGTATTTCCCATGTCCGCATTCTAAATTCTTAATTCTTAAGTTCTTTAATTATTCACGAGTCATTTTGCGTGTCTTAAACTTTCTTTTGAATTTTCTCTTCTTCTTTCGGCTATTCGCATGCTTTCTCTTTTTCTTTTTTTAAATCTAATTTCTTCCTATCATTCTTTCGTATCCATTTTCCCTTTTCCTTCTCTCTCTTTCGTTGCCAAAGTTCTTATCTCACTTTGGGTCTTATTTATTTCTGCGTATTATCTCTCTTTCTCTCTCTCTCTCTCTCTCTTCTCTCTCCTCTCTCATATCCTCTCTCTCTCTCTCTCTCTCTCTCTCTCTCTCTCTCTTCCTCTCTCTCTCTCTCTCTCTCTCTCTCTCTCTCTCTCTCTCTCTCGATCCTCTCCTCTCTCTCTCTCGCTCTCTCCCTTCCCTCTCTCTCTCCCTCTCTCTCTCTCCCTCTCTTCCTCTCTTCTCTCCCTCTCTCTCCTCTCTTCCCCCTCCCTTCCCTCCCTTCCTCCCCCTCTCTCTCTTTCTCTCCCCTGTCCCTCCTTCATTACTAAAATTTCCTTATCTTGCCTCTCCTCCATCTCCTTTCCAGACATCTTAAGAATTATCTTTCTACGATTACTGAACATCAATGAAAAATGGAATGGCGATTTTGGAATGGAGGAGGAGGAGGAGGAGGAGAGGAGGAGGAGGAGGAGGAGGAGGAGGGGAAGAGGCGGAGGCGGAGGAGGAGGAAGAAGAGGGGGAGAGAAGGAAGGGGAGGAGGAGGAAGGAGGAGGAGGAGAGAAGGGAAGGAGGAGGAGGAGGGAGGAGGAGAAGAGGACGGAGGAGGAGGAGGAGAGGAGGAGGAGAGGAGGAGGAGGAGGAGGAGGAGGGAGGAGGAGAAAGAGGAGGAGAAGAGAAGGAGAGAGGAGGAGAAGGAGGAGGAGAAGGAGGAGAAGGGCAGGAAGAGGAGGGGGAGTTGATGATGAGAGAAGGATGGAAGGAATGGGATGAAGGGAGGAAGGGAGCGAACGGGAGGATGGTGGGGGGGGGGGGGGGGAGGGGGTAGGGGGGGGGGAGGAAGGGAAGAGGGAGGAAGGAAGAACAGGAAAAGAAAGGAAAAGAGAAGGGAGAAAAAAATGGAAGGAAATAAGGTAAGGAAGGATAGAGGAGAATAAGAAAGGACGGATAAAAGAAGCAAGGAATCAAAATAGGACAATCAAAAAAGGAAGGAGGAGTAAAGCAAACCTAGACCCCAGAGCCCTCGCGCACACGCCGGTCGCGTAGAACCGACTGGACCGAAAAAAAACGAAAAAAGAAAAAGAAAAAGAGAAAAGGGAGAAGAGAGAAAGGACCAGAGAGAGAAGAGAGAGAGAGAGAGTAGAAGAGAGAGGAGTAGAGAGAGAGGAGAAGAGAGAGAGAGATCAAGAGAGGGAGAGAGAGAGAGTAGAGAGGAGAGAGAGAGACGAGAAGAACTACGCTCTAGAGACAGAGAGATGTCGGGGGGGGTTGCTGGGCTAGTCGGTGGGGGGTGGGAGGGGGCTGAAGGGCGAAGGGGTTAGGCGAATGCAGCTAGGGATGGCTTGGTAGATTACAAGTTGGTGTGGAGTGGAGGGGTGAGGCCTTGGCGGGAGAGAGAGAGAGAGAGACAGAGACGAGAGAGAGGACAGGAGACCAGAGACAGAGACAGACAGAGAAAAGCAGAAAAAAAGGAAGGAAAAGAGGGTAAATCACCCTCAGCTCCCCTCCCTCCCCCCGCCTCCGCCTCCCCCCCCCAAAAAAAAAAAGAAAAAACATAAAAAAGGAAGGAAGGAGAAAGAAAAAAAAACAGAAAGGGAAGGAAGGAAGGAGAGAGAAAAAAAACAGAAAAGGGAAGGAAGGAAGGGAGAGAAAGATTAAACGAGAGAACTCGGTCCAGCTCCTCGTTTCTCGGTTTCTCTCCGGATGGTGATGTTCTTGAGTATATTTCATATGCACCCCGACGTGACGCCCCGCGCTGGTCCCTGGCTGAGGGGCGCTCTTCCTCCTCCTCCTCTTCCTCCTCGCTTCCTCCTCCTCTTTCCTTCCTCCTTCTCTCTCTCTCTCCTCGTCTTCCTCCTCCTCCTCCTCCTCCTCTTTCCTTCTCCTCGTCTCCGCCTCTTCCTTTTTTCCTCGTCTTCCTCTTCCTTCTGCTCGTCTCCTCCTCCTCCTTCCGCCTCCTCTTCCTCTTCTTCTCCTCTTCCTCCTCCTTTCCCTCTTCTGCCCTCTCTCCTCCTTCTCCTCCTCTCTTCTCCTCCTCTTCCTCCATCTTCTTCTTTCCCTCTTCTCCCACTCTCTCTTCCTCCTTCCCCTCGTCTCCGCCTCCTCTCCCAATTTCTCTTCCTCCTTTCTTCTGCCCTCTCTCCTCCTCCTCCTCCTCCCCTCGTCTCCCGCTCTCTCCTCTTCCTTCCCCTCTTCTCCCACTCTCTCTTCCTCCTCTTCCTCCTCCTTCCCCTTCTTCTCCCGCTCTTCTTCCTTCTTCTTCTCCTCCTTTCTTCATTCTTCTCCGCTTTCCTCTTCCTCCTCTTTCCTTCCCCTCGTCTCCCACTCTCTCTTCCTACTCCTCTTCCTCCTTCCCTCTCTCCTACTCTCTCTCCTCCTCTCTCTCTCCTCTCCTTCTCCTCGTCGTGTCCACTCTCCTCCTCCTCCTCCTTCCCCTCGTCTCCCATTAAATAATTTAAAATAATCATCATTATTAACATCATCATTATTGTTATCATTATTACTACTAGTAGCCAAAGTACTAGCATTAGCAGTAGTAATAGCATCATTACTATTAGTATTATTTGCTCTAATTTCGTTAGTGTAATTATCATCTTCCGCTTCTATTATCCCTACTATTTCCACTTACTCCATTTTATCCATTATCACTACTATTTCCACTTACTCCATTTATATCCATATCACTACTAATTCCACTTACTCTTTATTTATCATTATTGCACCATTCATCATCATCGCTGTTTTTGCACATCATCACTAATATCGCCATCCACAAAATCACAATATCGCAACACGAAAGTATTATCATACAACCCAAGTCCAGAACCGGTTTATACTTCTCCAGTTGCAACAAAGAACTCAAACTTCTGTTGCAAGAGAGCTCCAACGTGGGAATCTTCAGTTGATGTAGAAGTTTGTGTCAACATGATACAGCTATTGCATTTTCGTGTGTGTGCGTGTGTGTGCGCTTTCTGTTTTCTCGTGTGGGGGTTGCTTGTCTGTGAGTATGTGTCTGTTGGACGTTCAGATGCGTGTAGATGTTTGTTTTGGGTTATTGTTGTGTTTGTTGGTTTGTGGGTAGGTGTGTGTGTGTTTGAGAGAGAGAGAGAGAGAGAGAGAGAGAGGGAGAGAGGGAGAGAGAGAGAGAGAGAGAGAGAGAGAGAGAGAGAGAGAGAAGAGAGAGAGAGAGAGAGAGAGAGAACAGACAAAGAGAGAGCGTGTACGTCACTGCAATGACTCTGCTCAACGTGTACACCTGTGTGTACGTAAAGCATCGCAGGCAGCAGACACGGCATGGGTTCGACCAGCAAAGTTGGTGGGAAAATTATCCCATCTATTACTATTATCACAGTTGCTGTATTTATAACAACTATCGCAGTTATTAACGCTCGCCCAGTTATGTTTCCTCATGCTCCGCGGGCTGGTCGAGCCTCCTCCACGCGGCCACGGTAATTCCGACCCTATAGATACCCCCACTTGAGGTAAATATCGCCTGTTTTCACCCGCCATCAGCAGGTTTATGGGCGCGGGTCTCTCAGGAACTGAATTTGTGGAGAGGATGACCGGAGCAGATGGCGCATTACGGTTATGGCGCCGAGAGAGAATCCGGGAGGCAAAAGAGATCCCTAAGATGAGCAAATCGATAGCTAATCCGGCCCGAATCCGGCTTTTCCTTATCGAGAGCCTCACTGGGCGCAGCGAACGGCCCTTGTCTGACGCGAGTGTGGGTTATCGGCCAAGTTCGGCTGGCCCCTAAAACGACGGCATTATAAGGATGCTGCGTCTTGTATCTGAGATTCCTCCTCCTCCCCCTCCTCCTCTTTATTTTCCGCTTCTTCTTCCTCCTTCTCGTCCTTCTTATGCTCATCCTCTTTTTCCTATACCTCCTCCTCCTTCTTTTTCTTCTTCTTCTCTTCCTCCTTATTTCTAATCTCTTCCTCCATCTCTCCACCTTATCCTCATCCTCTTCTTACACCTTCTTCATCTTCTCCTTCTCGTCCTCCTTCTTATCCTCCTACTATCCTTCCTACACCTTCATCTTTTCCTCCTCCTCCTCTTCTTCCTACACCTTCTTCTTCTTCTCCTCCTCCTCCTCCTCCTTATCCTCCTCTTCTTCCTCCATCTCTTCCTCTCCTCATCCTCCTTATCCTCCTCCTCTCTTCTTATTCCTCCATCCTTCCTCCTCCTCCTCCTTATCCTCCTCCTCTCCTTCCTACACCTTCTTCTTCTCCTCTTCCTCCTCCACCTCATCCTCCTTATCCTCCTCCTCTCCTTCCTACACCTTCTTCTCTTCCCTCTTCCTCCTCCACCTCATCCTCCTTATCCTCCTCTCTCCTTTTCCTACACCTTCTTCTTCTCCACTTCCTCCTCCACCTCTTCCCTTATCCTCCTCCTCTCCTTCCTACACCTTCTTCTTCTCCTCTTCCTCCTCCTCCTCCTCCACCTCCTCTCCTCGCTCCTTGTAACGGGCCGGACCGCCGAACGGGCCTCACCTCCGGTTGCCATGGAAACGGCAGAAATGTTTATGTAACGGAGGCGGCATCTTTCTCCAGCCTCGAGAACTGTCACTGCGACGTGTTTTTGCGAGGCGCCGGAGAGACCAATCCCGAGCGGTGCCAACTCGGAATGTTTATTTTATTTTGTTGATGTTTTTTTTTAGTCTTGTTTCTTGGTTTATTTAGATTTTTTTTGGTTAGCTTTTTATATTTATCATTATTTTTCTTCTTTTTCTTTTGTGTGGAAATGGGAATATAATGAAGCGAAATCGTTTAGAAGAAGGTTCTAAGTCGATTAGGTTCTTAATCTTTTCCTTTCTTTTCCTTCTCGTCCTTTTCTTATCTTCTCCTTTTATCTCCTCTCCCCATTTACTTTAGAGCCTCCCTTTCTTAATCCTCCATCTCTTATTCTTTCTCCTTCTCTCTCTCTCTCTCTCTCTCTCTCTCTCTCTCTCTCTCTCTCTCTCTCTCTCTCTCCTCTCTCTCTCTCTCTCTCTCTCTCTCTCTCTCTCTCTTCTCTCTCTCTCCTCTTTTCCTTTTATCTTCTCTCCCCACTTAATTATAAATCCTCTTTTCCTAATTCCCCCATCTCCTTGCTTTGGCACCTTGTCTCTCCCTTTCCTTTTTCTTCTCTTTCCTTCTCCTTCTCTCCTCCCCTTACTTATAATTCTACTTTACCTAATTCCCCCATTTCTTATTCTTTCTCCACCTTCTCTCTCCTTTTCCCCTTTCTTCTCTTCCTTTCTCCACCTTCTCTCTCCCTTTCCTTTTTCTTCACACTTCTTCCTTCTTTCCTTCTTCTCTTCCCCCTTACTTCTAAATTCCCTATTCTCTTATTCTTTCTCCACCTTCTTTCCTTTTATCTTCTCTCCCCTACTCATCATAAACCTCCCGTTCCTAATTCCCTCATCTCCTTCCTTTCTCCACCTATTCTTCTCTCTCCTTTTCTTTATCTTTTCTCCCCTTCTTTCTTTATAAACTCTCTCTTTCCTAATTCCTTTTCTTTTTCTTTCTCCACCTTCTCTCTCTCTCTCTCATTTCCTTTATCTTCTCTCCCCCTTATAAACCTCCCTTTCTAATTCCCCAATTTCTTTCTATTCTCACCTTACCTATAAAAGCTCCCTTTCCTAATTCCCCTTTCTCCTTCCTTTCTCCACCGTCTCTCTCTCTCTCTCTTCTCTCTCTCCCTCCCCCCCTCTCTCTCTCTCTCTCTCTCCTCTCCTCCTCTCCTCTCTCCTCTCCTCTCTTCTCTCTTCTCTCCCCTCTCTCTTCTCTCTCTTCTTTCCCTCCTCCTCCCTCCCTCCTCCCTCCCTCTCCCCTCTCCCTCTCCCTCTCTCTCTTCTCCTTCTCTTCTCTCTCTCTCTCTCCCTCTCTCCGTATCTCCTCCCTCTCTCCCCTCCTTCCCCTTCTCTCCTCTCCCTCTCCTCCCTCCCTCCTCCTCTCCCTCCTCCCTCTCTCTCTCTCCCTTCTCTCTCCCTCCCTCCCTCCCTCTCCTCTCCCTCTCCCTCCCTCTCTCTCTCCCTCTCCCTCTCCTCTCCCTCTCTCTCTGAATAGAAAATCCTTTTTTAAGGAGATATTTCGCTCTGGCTTTCCCCGCTCGTCGTCCCTCGTCACTCTCTCTCTCTCTCTCTTCTCCCTTCCCTTCCTCTTCCCTCTCCTCCCTCCCTCTCTCTCCTCTCTCCCTCCCTCTCCCTCTCCTTTCCCTCCTCTCCCTCTCGGTGAATAAATCTTTTTTAAGGAGATATTTCGCTCTGCTTTCCCCGCTCGTCGTCCCCGCCAGCTTCGTGAATATGAGATGAAACAAGGGCGTGGATGGGTGTCGCTCTCTTGACACTACGCCCTCGGTCGCGCTGGGCGTGGGGGAGTACGGCGCCCGTGGTCGACGCTCGGGACGGGCTTGTCGGTGACCTTGGTGTTTTGGGGTTGTTGTTGTTGGTGGTGGTGGTGGTGTTGTTTTGTTTGTTTGTTGTTGTTGTTGTTTGTTTGTTGGTGGTGATGTTTTTGTTGTTGGTGTTGATGTTGTGTTGTTGTTGATGATGTTGTTGTTATTGCTGGTGGTGTTTGTTTGTTTGTTGTTGTTGTTGCTGAGGATCTTTTGTTGCTGTTGTTGATGTTGTGTTGTTGTTG